AACTTTTACAGACTTTGGAGAGACTGCAAAATAATAAAGGATACATGTGGCACACTATTTTCTCTTCAGTAAGCTAGAGTCTGTGGATTGCAAGAAACAAGTATCTTTTTGAACATGTTAATTTCTCCCATCATTCTATCATAAACTTTGCAATTTCTGGATTATATGATTGGACAGGCTCTAAAACTGGAACGAAAGCAAATAAGGTCTCGACAATGCTTGAAGCAAATCCTATTCCAAGGAGCAGTGAATGATGAGATATTCTACATGTTAATTGGTTATGTTTGCTTCTATATATATTTTATATTCAGTTATAAATTTGACTTCTGGATGTAAGTTTTTTTGACTGTTAGTCTATAGAAAATCTAATTTCTGCTAATTATACATATAGCTGCCTTTGGTTTTTCCCTATATCCATGTCAACGATGAGTGACGGCAATGCCCACTCATCATCTTCACAGATCTTTGGAAGAAGAAGGTTATACGTCACTAATTAGAAGAAATTATATTTTCTATCTACTAATATTAGGATACAATTCGTATCCGTGTTTTATATGTAACTAAACAACTTTGTACTCTTTTGGGTTTTTAATGAACATGGATCATCCCTTGTTTTTCTATAAAAAAGGTTGACTAGGACTCTCTCTACCCACTAAAAGTGCCATTTACATCCCTCAATTTTTAAATTGTTCCAAACTAATTCTCTTAATAGATATAACTATTCTTAATTTCAATATCAATTTCAATGATTTGAGAAATTATTCAAAATACAAAAGATTTTAATGGACTAATATTTAAAAAATGTTTAACTAAAAGTAATTGTACAAGAAATATATTAAGATGAGAGCTAGTAATGTCTTATATAAAGAACATGAGTTGTGGTCCTAGGAAGAGAATGACTAAGTCACGAGTCTTTGGATGAAAAGTACTAAGTGCTGTAACTAACAAATTAGTTAATTTCATATTTTCTCATCCTTAATTAACACAAAAGCTTCATTTTTTTTTTCTTTTTCTTTTTCACGGAGGGCATGTTTTAGGGTATGAAGTCAAATGGGAATATCTTCAATGAAATTATTTCTTGGGCATTGTGGGTTTTTCATTTCGGCCAAAATGTTGGGATTTTCGTGATTATCATTTGCAAGTAATTGTTGTTCAATGTTTCTCTTTATTTAAAGTTGTAGCAATTTGTAATGGATTTTTATTTAATATTTTCATTTAAACTTTGTTTGCATTTAATAATAGAACTGTGAAATGAGGTTATATTTTCATGTGTTTTTTATATTTTGTGGTGACATTGTGGAATAAGGGTCTTCCTATTTTATTAAGTTTTACATTAAGAAATAATATGGGAACTTGTATAACTTGACAAAGTCTAGCGATGACATTCTCTTTATGATTGGTCCAGGTGTCTCTGTTAAAAAAAATAGGGCAAAATAGGTTTTATTTGATCTTAGTTCAAAGGGTAATAACGTAATTATATTATTAGCTCATTCCTCTCTCTTTTTGCAGCTCTATCTGATGTAGGATGCATAACGAATAAATTCATGGAAAAATGGGATATTCACAAGTCAAATGCGGATACAGATGAATTATTGACTGGTCGCAGAGAAACAACCATATCGCATGCTAATCCGGAAGGCAGATTTTAACATATTATATATGAAAATCGCCTATCTCGACGAGACAGAGTCAATCAGTATGGTACCACAATCCTATCAGTAACACCTATTTTTAGCAGGATTTCAGAATTAATCAGCATTTAGTTTATTTTTAATAATAAAGTTAGAGTCAATTTAGATTAGGAAACAAAATTAATTTTGATTTAATTAGAACCGATTTGTTTCCTTTATTATAGAGAGTCTTTTTTAGGATAGAATTTGATACTTTCTATTTTTTTGTAATTCTAGTCTTATTAAGAGTCTATTTTATTTTTCTATTTAAGAAGAAACATGTAACCCCAAAGGATCAATTCACTTTTATTAATAAAATTCTCTTTTATGTTACTCTGTGGATTCGAGGTTGTCTCTTCATGGATTCAAAGATTGTTCTTTGTGAATTCAAAAAATACCCATTGGTGGATTCCGAGCTTTATCACTTCCGCGTTGCGTTAATTGGTATCAGAGCCCTGTTTCTCTGATCCGATGGTAGGTGACGAAGACTCTATTTCCCTAACTCAGATTAAGACACACATAGACCCGACTTGCGTTGGCATTGGAGCATCTGAACCAGGGACGAGTTCGAGATCACGTTGATGGTCGCCAAAGACGAGATCCAACACTGCAAGACAAATCCTATAGCGATGATTGTAGAGGTTACCAAAGAAAGGTAAACTATGACGCTGGAGGATTAAAGATACCATCATTCAATAGGAAGCTTCATGTCGATGATTTCCTTGATTGGATTGATGAAGTAGATAGATATTTTGATTATGAGACAATTGGAGAAGCTTGGAAAGTTAAATTAGTGGTTTACAAACTTAAAGAAAAAGCATATGCATGGTGAGATGAAGTATTGTTGAAAAAGCATATGCATGATGGGATGAAGTATTGATGAATCGATACCATCAAGGAAAGGATCTGGTTTGAACGTGGCAAAGATGAAGAAGTAATTGAAAGCTCATCTCCTTCCTACCTATTATTATGCGTTCAATCGATATCTGAGTGTAGATTCTAAATATGATCATATAGAGATTAAACAAGTCTTATCTATCTCTAAGCAAGACCTTGGAGTTATGAAGAGGACTGAAGAAACAACAATGAGAGAAGAACCACCTCAGAAGCATAATATTTTCCGCACGAGATGCACCATGATGCAGAAGATATATGATGTCATTATTTACAGTGACAGTAGCAAAAATCTTATCTCGCAGCGTATGATGGAGAAGTTAGTCTTGAAGACAAAGAAATGTCACACCCCGTGTTTGATCAACTAGATTTGCAAGGATAATGAAGTGCAAAACAATAACATATGTCGGGTACCTTTTTATATAGGTAGGCCATAGCAGTTCGATGTTGGTTAAGGTGTGATTAAGATGGATGTTTGTCATATGCTCTTAGGTAGGCATATCAGTTCGATGTTGGTGCCACCCATAGAAGTAGAGACAATGTTTATGTCTTCAAGAAAAATGGACGTCGAATTATACTCATGCCTCTTTCAGAAAAGGAGTCATTCATGATAGAAACCACTGAGAAGAAGAAAATTATGGTGATAGACAACAAGACTTTAGCCGAAGGCTTGAAGCAATCTGAAGAGGTCCCTGCCTTGGTTGTAACTGGAAAATGAGAAACTACCCCTACTGAATTTCCTCCTAAGGTACAAACACTCGTTATGCATGAGATTCATGATGCTGATATATGGTGATATGATAGTGAAGATGGATATTATGCATGATATTCCCAAAGAGGTTGTAAGCGATATTGCACATATTGATATTGTCTCGATGGAGGAAAATAATAAAATAGAGAGTGAGACAATTGATGATATGTATAAACTGCTTAGGGGAGGGCCTAAAAAAAAGGAGATGGAGCACAAGAAATTTTTTCTAAAATAAAGAGTGTCAATGATTTTGACAAGATTGAGATGAAACTGAAGGCACAATAATATAAAAAGCAACAAGGAACTAATTTGGGGAAGTTTTTCATGTCATCTTTAGATCCACGTGCCATAAGTCATATTAAAATAATGTAGGAAAGATTCATTCAAAAGTTTAATTCTGAAGAAGCCTTAACTGAGAAGGTAAAAGAACAGATGGAGAAAATCAATGCTAAGTATTAGGTGGATGTTGATCGATGCATGAGAAGAAAAGTGTTTATCAAGAAAGATGTTATCCAAATAAATATAAGCTCGGGGTCGAGCTTCTTTCAATAAAGGGAGACTGATGTAAGACGTATAACGAGTAAATTCATGGAAAAGTGGGACCTTCACGAGTTAAATGTAGATACAAATGAATTATTAACTGATTGCAGAGAAACAACCATATCTTCTAACAATCTGAAAGGCGGATTCTAACATATTATATATGAAAACCACATATCTCTATGAGACGGAGTCAATCAATATGGTGGAGTCCCACAATCCTATCAGTAACACATATTTTTGGCAGAATTTTAGAAATAATCAACATTTAGTTTATTTTTAGAAATAATTTTAGAGTCAATTTAGATTAGGAAATAAAATCAATTTTGATTTAATTAGGACCGATTTATTTCCTATATTATAGGGAGTCTTTTTTAGGATATGAATTGATACTTTCTATTTTTTTTTATAATTCTAGTCTTATTAGGAGTCTATTTTGTTTTTTTATTTAAGAAGAAACATGTAATCCCAAAGGATCAGATCACTTTTATCAATAAAATTCTCTTTTATATTACTTCGTGAATTCGAGGTTGTCTCTTCGTGGATTTGAAGACTGTTCTTTGTGGATTCAGAGAACAGTCCTTAGTGGATTCTGAGGTTTATCACTATCGAGCTGCATTACTATCTACCCAACCAACGGAATCAAAACCCTGTTTTATTTATTTATTTGCTATTTGTTTACAAGCATCATTATGGCATAGAAGTTTTAAGGATTTCTTTTTCGTTTCCCACTTTGTTTCCTACTTGGTTTTTCTATAAACTGAATTTTGGAGCTAGAGAATGGCGGAGAGGAGGTAAACAAGGCAGAAGCAGATCGAACGAGGCAGATAATGAGGGCTAAGAAGTAAATTGTGCATTTTCACCCGTGGTATTTGGTGAGGAAGCTCAAACGTTTAGGAGGGTTTTGTCAGACACCCAAAAGTTTAGGGGGTAATGTAAATAAACATGTTTTAGGTGTTTGTATAGAACGTCCCCAAAGTTCAGGGGGATTTGTGCAATTAACCTAAAGCTAAAAGATACAATACCGTCTAAACGGGCCGATAGATTGGTTATCTGAGGCCCAGCCCAACATGCTCAACTATCGGGTTCGGACACAAAACAACCCATCATAACCCGACCCACTAACATCCCACCCTCCTAAATCCCCTCCTCCTCAACCTTCAGAAACCTCGACTAAAGACTCCAATGGCGTTCTCCTTCTCTCGCAAACTTCTATCTCGACGACGACTAATCCAAAGATCGTTTCTTTCGCTTCTAGAAGCTTCCTCTCTTCCGGATCCCTCCACGTGCCCGTCAAAATTCGTGCGGAGGCTTGATTTCCCTACCGTTTCTAGGGTTTTCTTTTCGTCGAATCCTTCGCACTCCAACGAAGTCCAAGGACCTGCAGCCATAGAATACAGGTGAATTTACCAAATTTTTTGGATTTTGTGATGCAAGTTTCAGCTTTTTAAGGAAATTTCGTCTTTTTTAATTATTAAATATGAACCTGAAGTTTCTAAAAGAAGTTTATATTTCCACGAAAATTCAACATTCCAATTCAAAATCGCTACATTGGTTAAAAAACGAAATCAGACTATACTGTTACAGTGCACAAAATTGTTTCCTTACAGATATTTACAACCTTAATTGAAGATAGCATCATTTTAATCTGAAGCATGTTTTGGGATTGAAGAAAGCAACATTTATTTGCTTTTTTACACAAGAAAACGATTTATGTTATAAATTGTGTTCCTTTCTGTAAGTATTTATAAGGCTAGTAGTAGGATTTAAGTTTGTGTACGGCCAGATATAATGTTGATTTTGTTTAATTCGTATAGTTAATGAAATCATTATGCGTGTTCTTGTGTGTAAATTTGGATGATCACTAGTCGTGAAAAAGCAAAAGGTGAGTCCTTTGATTTCTTGCTCAGAATTAGGGTTTTCTTAGAGATCAACTAGATCTCTATGAGACTTTCTGTACGTGAATTGTTTCAGCTGAAATTATTTATTATTTTGTTTTAATCTTATTTATTGGCAGCTCTATTCTGCCAGAAGAAGAGTACCACAAGTTAGCGGATGAAACATTGCATGATCTGCAAGAGAAGTTTGAGGTAACTCTTGATATTGTCATGAATTCCTCGATAGTTATCTTCTGTTGTTATGTGCTTGAGAGATTTGGATATAGGAAAAGTTGATCAGAGCATAAAAGGTCATTCTGTAATATATTCAGTTTTTAATCCTTGACAGGAGTATGGTGATGAGATCCAACTCGATGGGTTTGATATAGATTTTGGGGTAAGGTGATACACAGTTAATTGTATGGTCTTATGTGTATACACCAATAAGCTACTTGTGACATTCATTGTGCATTTGAGCAGAATCATGTTTTAACACTAAAGCTTGGCAACATGGGCACATACGTTATCAACAAGCAAACACCAAACCGACAAATCTGGTTGTCTTCACCAGTGAGGTACTTGTTTTTTTAGATTTATTTTTGTGTTTGGCATATCACTATGCATTTGATTTTGCTTCTTACTATAAAATCAAGTATTGTCCTTTTATTCTTTGGTTTAGCATTGCGATGACCTTGATTCTATTAGCTGGTCCTCCAGCTTTTCTGTTTTTCTGAAACCGATGAATCTATTTAACTTGCCTAACAACTAATATTGACATAGCCCCTGTTCCGTGTTTTGTTAGGAAGGGTGCTTGCTAGTATGCATTGTATTCTTGAACTTTATCAAGTGATATCCTCCTGACTTTTCTGCCTTGATAAAATAGTAGTTTTTTTCTATCACTAAGCTAGTGACCATTTAATCTTATTATATACCTATGGGGTTTAATTGCTATGTCTAAAAGTTTGATTTATTCTGAAAGATAATTCTTTTGCAAGAGATATTGATATACAAGATTTCCATTTTTCTTGCAAATACTAATTCTCTTTGGTTTAAAAAAACTTGGTTCCTCTTTTGCTTGAACCTGTCAATCGAGTTTATATAGCTTTTTTCTGACAACTATACAGAGAAATATTTTAGGATTGGTTCTTTATTTCAATTAATTTGAGGGAAAGTAGGCTACCTATGAATACTTGGTTCAAAATTACTAAACGTAGACCAAAGCCAGCAAGGCTAATTTCAAAAATCTTTCATATAGGCTAATGTTTCATAATTCCATCCAAGAATGCTAGATATATTGTTACAGGGTGCTTTTAGTTTAAGAGGAGTATGAAAGAATTTGGTGATCCGTTTATCAAGTTAATTTTTTTCTAGATAGTAGAACTTCTTTAGCTTAAAGAATTTCCATTCTTCTGTTATATATGGAAATGGGCATGGAAGAAACTAAGGCAAATTGAGCTATTAGCCAATAGTGGTACTCAAGCAAGAATTATATGTGAGTTTGAGTTCGCAGAGAAAATTTAGACCTTAGGTTAATAATATGTTGAGCTCACATTTAGCAGCTGTCATAGTCAAAGATGAGTGCAATTACTTGATATTAAATCTTGTTCATCCCCTCCCCTCTAGACGTCGCCTTTTCTAGGAGAATTTGAACAATTCTTCTCAGCTACTGAGTGATGAAGTTGACTGTATGAGAAGCCTCTTTCTCGCATCAATTTAATCCTGTAAATTAGTGATATATACGATGTAGCAACCCTATAGGTTGTTTTCTTATCATACAGAGAATATTAGAGAAATTTGCTAAGTCCTTTTAAAACTTTTCCAGAGTTGTCATTGTCTTATTTGATGGTAAAAAGCATTGGTATGATTCCTCGGTGCACGTTACAATCATTTGAGCCTAATATATGTATCTGACAATCTTTCTGTGGTACATTGACAAAACAAAACAAGAATTATGACATATATATCAATGGTTATTCTAGTGACCAATTAGTTTATCAAATCACTTTGCGGATTGGGATTGATTGTCTCTATCCTTTTGTAGTTGTTGCACTAGTTTCAGGCCCGTGCAATGCGCGAAATTATTTTATTAATAACTTTAAATATTTTCTAAAAAGAAAAATATCACATTTTAAAGAATTTTATGTACTAAAAAAATTAAACTGATTATTGTTTAATTGCAAATCTGGTACGTAATAAAAAACAAACTAGCAAGAGATTCATTATCACGAATACCAACTTAGGTCAAAAAATTACAACATATAGTCATACATAATAATGTCACATAAGAGTTATTGTTTGCCAACACAATGATCAACAACATTATGATAGCACAAACTTTCAAATCAACCTTACCTTACAAATTTTTCATCTTTTAATACTACTGAAGTTTAAAAACAAACATCCCTAACAATTTTTGATCCTAATACAAAACATTTAAGAAACAACACCATACCGAATGTTATTAATCAATTTCCATAGAGGTGCTTCCTCATATGAGAGTTCTTAAAAAGAGGCAGATGAAGACAGCTAAATGAATCAAATTATGCATGATAAAAGTAATCCATAAATAAATGGAAGAAATGAGATGAGTATTTAGGAAATTCGTTGCAGACTCAAATATACTAAGAAAAGAAGCAATATTTCCATGACAAATAGAATGCACAAATAAAGAAAACAATAGAATTACCACATTGAAGCAATTGGAAATATGATAACTAAGCTGTAGATACATGTTTATTTTTTAACGCAATAAATTTCTTCATTTTTATGCAACAATTTCTTCCATTAGACTAAATTATCTTTAATTATAAAGAGAATTAAGCCAATGAAAGAAGCCACAAGAAAATAAAAATATAGGAAAATACCTCAGAACTTTTGATTGCTCAAGTAAAGAATTGTGCTTGGAAATACTATAGAAAATTTAGAAGACCATTGAATTGCTCAAAAAGTAAAAGTTTTACCTTGCAAATTGTAGAGTTACATGTATAAGAGAAAGAAAGGGAGGGAGCAAAAGTTAAGAAGGAATTGAAAGTAGTTTGTGAATCTAAAATGGGTCATAGTAAAAACATAATCCAAAAAGTCATTAATTGCTTTCTTCTGGGTAGTTCAGAGATCTATTTTGAGCATAGATCCCTTTTTTTTTGTTGGAAAAGTGCAACAATGGTTTGAATAATTCAGATTTGTTCTAGTTAACAACAAAGCTCTAATTTCATCAATCAAAACATCTCTTGTACCAGTAAAGTCATCAAAATCTAACAACAAATTATCTCTGCATCCAAGTTTTGTATTAGTTTTTTTTAAAAAATAAAAGAAAGAGGAAATAAATCTATATTCTCATTTATTCCCTAAATTATTTCTAACAGTCCTCCTCGAGCTGGCACATGTATCACAATCATGTCTAACTTGTTACAAATAAGATTCACCTACTTCCACTGTTTTAAAAAACCTCCGCCTAGTCCGCTTAGGCGTACGCCTAGACCTAGGCGGTACCTAGGCCGCCTAACTAGCGCCTAGCGCTTAGGCGGTATTTAGGTTACCCACCTAGATTTTACGAGCGTTTAGGAAAGCATTGTCTGCTTACGTGGATTGCACCCTGTAGGCCTTGATTGTGATTTTATATGTCGTAGCCTACACGTCCTCCAAACACCATTAACCTCCAAATATGAACACCTCCACTACCTCCTCCGACCTTCAACAAAACCTCATCGACCACCACTTAAATGAAGAAAGAAAAAAACGCCCATAAACCGTTTAGACGTCCGCCTAGGCGACTAAGCGCTGGGCGCCATGTCCGACGCCTAGAAGCGCCCAGCGTGTAATGTAACATTGCCTACTTCAGAATTCAAAGACTTGAAATCTTTTGTATTACATTTCTTTTTGCAGTACTCTTGATCTTCTACTCCTCTAATTGAATATCCTCCACAACGAACAACATCAAATGTGATACCTCGATCTTCTTCACAGATCGATCAAACAAAATGATCCTTTTCAGGGATCTACTAAATAAAGGTTTCTTTAGGGTCAAACTAAACAAATGATTCTCTCTAGGAAACAACCAAGAAAACGATCCTCTCCAGGGATCAACCAAGAAAACAATCATCTCTTAGGATCAACGAAGCAAACGTCATTTCCAAGGATTCACCAAACAACTGATCCTCCTCATAGATCAACCAAACAAACAATCCTCTCTAAGGATCAGTGAATCAAACAATTCTCTTCAAGAACCCACGAAACACATGATACTCTCTACAGATTAACCAAATAAACGATTCTCTCTTACTGAGATTGATGATGATGTAGAGTCAATATGACATGAATACTTGATATGGCCACACTTCTTATAATAACAACACATCATCCTCTCCAATTGAAAAACAAATACCGAGCACCTCCCTACCTCCCTTTCAAACCCAACTCCTAGCACCACCCTTCCACCCTTAAGCAACCAAACAAACTAGCAGTAAATAATCCTAAGCTTTGACACCATCTGCAAATATAAATAATGCTGACTAAAAGCAGCAAACTCAAAAAAACCTCATCAGAAGAAAAGACGATCTAATAACTACACCAAAGCCGTCTCTATAGCAAGAGAGATGATGCGACGACGACCTAAAACAATGGTGGCGGCAGCGGCGGCAGTTCGACAGTGATGACAACAGCGATGGAAGTTAGCCGGCAGTGATTAGCAGCCTGACGGTAGCCGTGCGATGTAGAAAAAATAATAATACATAGTATAAAAATAAAGAAAAAATAAACAAAAGAAATTAGGAACTAAACAAATCACCGAAATAATAAATAGCTCGCACTGTTCTTCTTACAGATCTGTTGTGCATTTGACTTGATGGCTTCCTCGATCCACCTTTCGTGCACCTCAGTCACCACTGTGGATGCTGGCACCATAATGTGGCATTCAAAATCAACAACAAATACAAAATTAAGAAACTTAAAATTTTAATTCTTCTCTGTTAATTTGGAGAGAGGTTCTTAAAGAGAACTCAGGGATGGCAGGGGATATGTAATGAAAGAACTGGATCGTGTATTACAACCACAAGATTCAAGCTATTACAAAATACTTTTCAAAATCAAAGTCTCCAAAACTAGTGAGCTCTTCCAAAGTTTCATAACTAAAGTACTCAGTAAAGTTGACACTTTGAAGTGAATGCAATGAAAATGCCTCTGATATACACGGGAAAAAACATTAAACATAAATAAACATAAGACCCTCACGGTGGTGGCAAATTGCTGCATCGTTGAAATCTAGTGGTTAGACCAGTGAGGGAGAGGCAGACGGCGTGGTGTCAACGAAGAGTGTCCGTGGTATAAGTCGGTGGCGAGGATGTCAAGGCAGTGGTGGCGGAGCCTGTGGCAGGTGGCAGGCTGCAGAGGAGGGTCATATATTTTCACAGTGATTGTTTGAGAAGTAGACAAAAATTGAAAAAAAAAGTGCTTCGTTTCTTGGGGAAGAGGGAGGAGAGTGATTAGGCAGAGGGAGAAGAGTGAAAGAGGATTTAACTGAGAGGAGCTAGAAATTGAACTAACTTATTCTTGACAGAAGTTGCAACTGTTGAAGAGTCCTTTGAAAAACAAAAAATTAGATATTTCTAATCATTAATATTACTCTATTGGGAAATTAAACAGCTAGCCATGTTGGTTAAGGTGAAGATCTAGGTAGTCTACGTTTTCAGAAACTGTAATAGGGAAAGCCAAAGGGATTTAATGGGTGCTGAATAGCTGAGAATAATAGCTTAAAGTTTAATTTTGGGTTTCTTTTCCTCTATGAGTTCACCTAATGGGGGTGTTTCTCAACGTAGGAGGTGGAGACAGCTTTTTCCCTGGGGGCTTCCCGGTGTTTTTTTTAGGTTTTATGTTTTGTTTTTATTTTATTATTATTATTATTTTTTTTTTTTTGGGGGGGGGGGGGGGGGGGGTTCAATTTCAAGATGGGAAGGATGTTCATTCATAGAGGTTACACAAATACTGAAGTTAAAAAGTCAGATTGATGATGATGCGCCAAATGAAAGAATGCATAGAACTATTTATTTCATTGACATATAAAAAAGATGAAACACAGATGGAGAAAAAACTGATCTAGAATTTCTTTTTCCCAGTTGTTGACACGTGGCATAGAGATGAAACACTGTAGTATGTAGTAAGGGGCTGTTTGGTTCCCTGTTTTTGAGGGAAAGCCACTGTTGAAAGTGTCACTTTTTGGCAGGCTTTCAAGCAAAATCCTCTTTTTTAGAGGCGTTTTTGCTTAAAGCCTGCCAAAGAAGTGACACTTTGGCAGGCTTTCAAGGGAAATTTTTTTAACCAAACAGCCCCTAATAGATTCTGTTTATTTGTTTTGGCTAAATTTCAGAAAACCCCCCTTTACTTTGAAAGTATCACAAAAAACCCCATAAGTTTAGGGTTATCACTTATCAATGAGCCTATGCGTTATTTTACCCACCCATGTGAAAATTTCACGTAACGCTGTAAGATGGTTTTTTGAAAAAAAATACTAAAGTTAAAGGGGGTTTCTGATGACCTCTAAATTGAAAGGAGGTTTTCTGGTATTTTGAAAGTTTTGTGGGGTTATCTGACGATTGTCCTAACTTAAAGAGGGTTTTCTGAAATTCAGCCCTTTTTTCATCGACATATCTCCTCTTGTATTTATTATGTTGGTAATCTTTCCTTCCTTTCTCTTTCAGTGGGCCTTCTAGGTTTGATTGGGACGTGACAAGTCAAGCTTGGGTTTACCGGCGAACCAAAGCAAATTTATTGCAACTTCTCGAAGAAGAGGTTACCCAACTCTGTGGCAAACCAGTTTCTCTTACCTGAAAGCAGACGACTTCAGGTTGGATTTGTTGCCTAAACTGAGAGCTGCCATTGTAACAAATGCTGAGGGAAAAAAGGATGAGTCTGTCAGAAATTTTCGGACTCAATCTGGAAATCAAATGTTTTGTTTATGTATCTTGCAACTTACGGTTTGTCATAAGTTGATGTCGGAATTATTTAAATATTGAAATAAAGCCTTGGTTTTTTGGCTGAGTTGTTCTTGAACAGTTATTTCTGGTGCAGTTCTGAAGATCCTGATAAATTTCTTTGTTTAACAGCTTAATAGTTGACCCCTATCAATCTTAGTATTCTGACTTTTATACTTATATGCTGCTCAATTTAGCAGCAAGGCAGCAATGACGAGATAGTAATGTCGCTTTTGTTCTCCCTTAATTGGAGTTCAACAATATCGAATGTCTCGTTACGAAGTAACTAATTATGAGGCTGGGTTTCCAGTTATTTGAAAAATCATCTTCAGGAATCTGAAAAGCACATCTATATTTCAATTACAGGTAACCATATGTACCAGAAAAAGATCAATATCGCTGAAGCCCCAAAGTAAGGAGTAGATTTTAAAGAGTAAATTTTGTAATATTTGATGATAATTTTCATGTCAAATCGTAAACCCTGCTAGTGGCATATCCATATCCATTAATTTTGTACGTACATCAACTATGTGACTATAATTCTTAGTTGTTGCTTCACTTTTGCGTTAAATATTTCCTTTGTGTCGACATATATGAATCATGACTGAATTACGTACAGAAATAGATTTTTGACTTGAAAGCAGGTTATAGGGTTAAAAGCCAACATGTTATCAGCTCCAGACAGAGCATATGATGTAAACTGCTGGCTTTAAATAAAGGCCAGGCGATTTAAACTGCAATCTGAACAATCTACTCATATTTTGGCGAAATCAAGGCTAGTAATACTTATAAATAATTAATTAAATAAAAAAGAAGAAAAAGAACACAAAACTCGTAAACTTTTGCTTGCAGTTTTGCAGTAGCAACCAACTTGTAAGGGGCTATTTGGATCATCGCAAGTGGATAGACTAGTTGCATGCAATTGGAACAGTTTGAATTGATCATAATTGTTTATTTTATTGCAACCGATAAATACAGTTACAAAAAGACCTTCAGTTGCATCTGATGACCTACACTTAAGTCGAGCTAGCAAACTTTTTACAATGTAATGAGATTTAAATTGATGTAAATTATAAATCCAATCGTAATCAACCATCAACATAATAGGGAAGAAAAAACTAATACCCCAAAAACCAAACAACTGCATTTACAAGTACATTCGACAACCGTTGCAGTTGCTGCCGTTGTATACAACTGATGCTTGCATAGTAATTACTGTTGCAGCAAATGAAACAACCTTGATATGCATAGTAGATGATAGAATTCCATTGAAATCACGGACAAGACGCTCTATTAGAGATCAACATGACCAATAAACCGACCAATATAGTTTCTCGTTGTATAGATGAATCAAGAACTGATTAGTGGATCAACAGCTTTGAATCTGAGTCTTATATTGATCCCTGCCGAATGTTGAATCAAGTGCATTTCCGTATATCCCAATTTCTATCCATGATCAATTTGATGAGATATTCCCAGTTTACTGCAGGGCTGCTCAACCTGCAAACAACAAGTCTACATTAAGGGAAAAGATAAAACACTGTTATGATCACATAATAATTGATTCATACTTTCTGCAAACAATCTGGATATTGACAGATAAACAATAACTGAAAATTGCTATTTCTAATTATGAGCATTCAAAAAGTTCGAGAAAATTGGAACTTCACAATTTTTATGATGTATCACAAAGTGTGCATGCTTAAGATTTACATTCAAAATCCTCGTGCATCTGCAGTTAAATTCCATAAATTGAGCAGAAATTAAAACAGAACTAACAAATATTCACTACATGTGAACATTTCAATTTATAATATAGCACAATCTTTCGGCAAAACAATCAATAAACATTAATAATAATAATAATAAAATCAAATTCTTACCTACAGATTCCCTTCAAGAATCCAGAGTACCTTTCATATCCTATATCATGCTAATAACAGTAATTCTATTCCCGTACTCTTATTTATTTATATGGATAAATAATAAGAGAATACAGAGTTTAATGTCCATGTCCACAAATTAAGTTGCCTTTTCAAGTGTTTCTGAAGTTCCAAGCCACAAAAAGGCAAACTTTAACGAATAAACGGTAATCTAATTAGAAGATATAGTTCCTCAAGTAGTTGCATGCTTTGCCTTGAACATGTTACATGTAAATGACATCATAAACTTCTCATATTCCTCTTCAGTAAGGATACCAACTTGAGGCCTGCAGGAAGCTTTAATTAGCTATAAATAAGTTTGTGATCCTCTGCAACAGACGTTTTGCTGTTTGAGTACTTCAGTGGCTATATGTCACCTTAATACACCATGGAAGGAAAAATATCTGAAAATGTGATGTCTTCACTATCACTGGCATGAGGTATAATCATGTCTTTAATTAAGGAGTCCACATCTCTGAACTTACAGATTTATTAAGTAAATCAGCTGATGCATACACATCTTGAAACTTACCGGTGTATTTTCTGTAGCACTTTCTCAAGGGTAGCATGAAACAATATCTTGTTGTTTGATCTATAGCTACGTGCCTGTGTTTTATTAAAAAAATCTCAGAGTTACTCAATTGGGTCTCTTATGCGTGTAGATATCTCCAGTAGAGAGGCCTACTATAATGTTTCCAGTAATGTTGATGCTAAGTAGTGATGTTGAATTATTGATCTTTCTACAAGAAAGCCACCTTAATGTTTTGGCAGAAAAAAGAACCCTCAGGACTTTATTTCTTCCTTCTACTACCGAGGGCAATGGGATTTGCTCAGTGAATGATCTGACATTTATGAGAGTGGTTAGATGAATTTGAAGATGTGAACTATAAACACTTCGTTTATAATAGAATAAGCTTTTGATTTGAAGAATTATATATGTATCCAATTGAACGGGAAAATTATTGGTTGATATTACAAGGTACATGGATCAAAGGACTTTGCGCGACATTAGAAAACCTTTGTGCCGAAAACTAGTAACCATAATCTGATACAGTAAAGTTTAACTCTTGCCTTGGCTGTGAGGTAAGCATATATTGTTGAATCACATAAAGTTTTTTCCTATAATTTTCCTGAGACCTCTATGTACCAATTGTAACAATTTCAACACAAATTTGATATTAATATGCATGCTAGTGCAAAACGCTGAATATTTATATAAGCTTCAGTTAACTAATTAATTTGAAGTATTCTATTGACCAACTATTGAGCTACGACCTTTGACTGCAATTTTTTTCTACTTGTTGACCTAAGTTTTGCATGTTGTCATCTATAAAATTAATCCTATAGTTTATATCTTTCATTATTTCGTATATCTGATGGGTTGAATACATTTCAATGAAACAAGTATTTTGCCCGTGCTCGCACGGGTGAGTCTTACTTGTAAAGTAAGTAATGTGGAGCAGGTAGTGGGAACTAAACCCACATCATTAGGTTGGAAGGTTAGGGGCCTGATTTTTTCTTTCATATTTGATTTGTATGGTCTCTGCGGGTTTCTTCTTCATATGCATGTGCTTCTAAATTAAATCAAACAGTTTTTTTTATGAATTGTTATTCCTTTTTTTCTATTTTTATATATACTATTTTTTATGGATATGAGCATACAAATAGCTTATACCAATGACTTATAGCATATAGATTATTGAAAATTAGATAATTGAGATGAAGCTTTTTCTTCAAATAGTTTAAAACTTAAATGAACTTCAAAACAAGGGAACAAATTACTTCTTATTTCAAAATTAAAAATTTAGAATTAGATAATTTAACTATTAGCCTCTCCTTTACATTATTCCACTTTATTTATTATATTTTAAGATAAAAAGAGAGAAAATTAGCTTGTCCAATGAGCGCATAGATAGGTTTTATTTCAAATTTTCAAACTTAAAATATAGATAGTTTAACCATAAAACTCTCCTTTATAATATCAATCCTTGTTTATAACATTTAAAATTAAAAAAAGAGCTAAAAAATTCGGCTCACCTTGTGTGATCACAACATCGGAAATATATCTTTGATGTTGAAACTGCCACTGCTAAAAAATGAGGCATCCTAGACGGAAAATTCCGTCTAGGATACACAGAATTCCGTCTAGGATACCACTGCTAAAAAATGAGGCATCCTAGACGGAAAATTCCGTCTAGGATACACAGAATTCCGTCTAGGATAAGTATCCTAGACGGAATTCCGTCTAGAATACGAAATTCCGTCTAGGATACACAGAATTCCGTCTAGGATAAGTATCCTAGACGGAATTCCGTCTAGAATACGCGTCTAGAAAGTTTCCGCCTATGATGTAGTATTCTAGACGGAAATTCTGTCTAAAATACATACTAGACGGAATATTCTAGACGGAATTTAAAACCGTCTAGAATACATCCTAGACAGATTATTCTAGACGGAATTTTCGTCTAGAATAATTCATCCTAGACGGAAAAAATTTCCGTCTAGAATGAGTATTCTAAACGGAAATTTCCGTCTAGAATACTCATTCTAAACGGAAATTCATGTTTTTTATTTTTTTTTATTTTTTTAAAAAATAGGTATTCTAGACGGAATTTGAGCATCCTAGACGGAATTTCCGTCTAGGATACTATGCTACAGTATTTTTTTTTGAATCTGCTTTAGGTGCATGTACACAATATTGAACAACAAAAAATTATATTCATATCCAATACAATCTAATTATATTCCAATATCAAATCCAATTATATTCAAATAATACATTAACCAAAATACTAGAGAGATACATAAATTGTTTACAAACTTTTACCATACAAAGCTAATAGGGGCTGAAAATATCCCCTTTAGTAATTAAATGCACCATCAGATAACGCATTGCACATGTGTGCACTATGAAGAAACTCCAGATGAGCATATTCAATGTTAATGGCATCAATATGGACCTTTTTTCCAAGGTGGGTTGGATAAATTTGTTCAACTTACAATTGCTTGCAAAGGCAACCCTTTCTTAGCATCTTCATATGCTGTTGCTCGCAACTCTTCATAACTGACATCGCCAACAATGTCACAAGGCCGACTGAAAATTGAGATGAATGCATTGATCAGATAAAGATTGTTTATCACTGTT